CCCATGAGTTTGCAACTAGCCCAGTCGTCATAATGAGTTTCAGGCTAGCCAGGGTCACAGAGTAGGACAGTGTGCCAAAAAAGCAGAAGAAGGAGAAAAGAAGAGGAAGAAGAAGAATTGAAGAAGAAGAAGAAGAAGAAGAAGAAGAGGAGGAGGAGGAGGAGGAGGGGAAGGGGATGAAAAGAAGGGGGAAGAGATGAAAGGGAAGAACAGTAGGAAACTTTAATAAGAGAGATATAGATAAAAATTGGGTTAGTTTAAGGGAGGGGGGAGGGAAGGGTATACAAGGGACCTAGGGGATAAAGGGAAAGAAGGAGCTCAAGAGAGGTAGGACTGTAGGAGAAGGGTATTATTAAGGAAGAAAAGGGGGAAATGGGGGCACTTTAATTGGGGAAACCATGATGGAGGGGTGAGACAGTGTGAGAGATAAATAATGCCTAGCTAGTTTTAAAAACCAGAGGGAACCATATTATTCCTACAACCTACTAACAAACTATACATACCAGATCAAGGAATATATGTCTAGGAAAGGTTTATCTGAGAACAATTGGTCTTTGCCTGAGATTTATGTACATGACACACAGTAATTAAAGGTACCAGACTGGTGGAACTAAACTTCTTGGGTGTTTAATAGACATACTTTGAGGCCTATAATAATTTTGTCAGAGGGACATAAAGGGCAGTTTTTGCTCCTTGCCCTCCTAGGTCGACTAATTCCAGGGCACTGTGAGCATCTCTCATAGTGTCCTGTAATTGTGGTGGGTCACCTGTCCTCTTGATCAAGGGGGCTGAGGAGACCCCATGAGATTTACTTGAACCAGTGTCCAGTCTACAAAGAGGGTCAACACAGAGAAATTATTTCCTCCATGCTTCCAAGCAAAGCCAGCCATGGTCGAGTAGGGCCTTTGACTTATCTTTACATAGGCGGAACTGGTAAAAGAAATGAGCCAGGGGCTCCTCTGAAGCCCATGTGACCCCTGAGGAACAGATCTTCAAACGACCTTAAGAGTGAAAATAAATTGGCTTATCCGGGCCAATTGTATGGCCTTAAACACCCAAAAGGAAAGTATAACCAAAGATTAAAGGGTCCAATATAATTTTTTAAGAGTCCATATGTATAGCTAAATGCTACATAAGAAGCAATGCCAGATAGAAGATACCTTCTTTTGAGTTGTTGGCCAGTTTGGCCCCAAGGAACTCCCAGATAGTAACCCAGCATAGAACTGAGAAAATGAACAGCAGACCCCAATCTTATCTAAAGGAATATTGACAACTTAGATGATGAACAGCTGACCTTCCTAAAACAAAGACCTCTAGATAGGCTGACTAGATTCACCAGATGGACAAGTAGTGGGGAACAGCTGGGGGTTCTGACAACACAGCAGACAGTAGCAGGGATAACAGAGTATAAGAGCTCTCATGGGGGGAGGGAGGCTATGGGAGGGTGTCACCTGGGAAACGGGTGTATAGTTGAATAAGATGGTTTGAGATGTTCTGTGTGATACACACACACACACACACACACACACATACACACACAAATAAACAGATTTTTTAAACTGTATTATATTTGAGGAGGCAGCATGGAAATTTATGTCATGTTAATTAGACATGATAAACAATACCATTGAAATCTACCTGGTGACTTTATAGGCATACACAGGTGCCAAGGATCCAAGTGCAACTGATTATGACTAGTAATAGTCAGATACATACAGATTAGAGATGCATGTACCAACATCTCAGTGTTAGTAGCAAAAAACAGTGAGTCTTTCTGCAAGGAATAATATATTCTAAAATGAAATGGAGATTTTTTTTAAAGGTTAAAATCTCATTCAATTTTATGTCTTTCAGGGCTTATACTGAGTTCAACATTGTATAACTGTATTAATTCAACTGTGAAGCTAAAAATTTACAGCCACTTTTGGAAGAGCTGTATCCTTGGTATCCTTGCTCTGGAATGTGTTACTGAATATGTTAAAGGTGTAATGAAATGCTTCTTCTAATTGTGTAGTTACTAAAAATTTACTTCATATTAAATAGTAGAGGTGACAAACATTACCAGTGAAATCTATCTGATGAATTTATATCCATACTCAGGTACTAAGGATCCAAGTGTAACTGTGACTAGTTATAATCAGATACATAAAGACACATGTGCAAACATGTGTTAGTAGCATTAAAAATGTAGGAAACAGCAAATTTTGAAATGGATATCTTCTTTGAAGGGTAAAAACTACATGATTAG